AGGACGAGGCCATTTATATCTTTAAAAGTTCCTCCATCGCTGAAGCATTAAGTTGATCAGAAGGGAAGGGTGGGAACATGGAAAGAAATCCATTATCCCTAAATAGCACACCTCTGTAAATTTCTTTCTTAGTTTGTCTGATGTGGAAGCACTAACTAGATGTGTAAAGCTTCATAACAGTAGGACCATTTCCATGGAGTCTAAAAGCACCATCAAAACAGGGCGGGAAAAGTCGCTTGCTGTAATATTACAGGGCCTAGAAAGGGCAACTATGAGTGATGTTATCCTTGATTTCTGGTTGCAAATAAATAGCTAGGGCAGATTGCAAGAGACATGAACTTGCTTGCAGGGAAGCAGTGAACATTGGGTCAGGAGCCGTCAGTCCAAAAACAGAAGGTTGTCTGTTGACTCAGCCACACACTCTCTCACTCGGAAGGTCAAAGGTAAGAGCCTGGGAAGTGAGACCCAGGCAGCTTGTAAAACGGAAACAGCTGTCAAAAAGCAGAGACCCTAACAGAGGAAACTAGTCAGGCCATGCTTTGTGTGCCAGCAACTGAAAAAGCTGTACAGGCTCCATAGCCCAGAATTTAGCCATCCATACACCAAGTCCTTTACTCCTCTATGAGGGATGTCTACAGGAGAAATTAAATCAGTTTTCACTTCAACCTACAGCTCTTTGGTGCCTCTCAAAAAATTAGTGTTGGAGAGAAAAACAGAAAGTGTCAGGGGATTTAACCTATGAATGACAACTGGCTGACAGAAAACAGTAGACACCTTTCCTTCAATACCACCTTACTGTAAAAGGTAACACAATGCATTTCCTATTTCTGCTGACATCAATCCACCTCAGAACAGGCAAATGAAAGCAAGGCAGGACACCCAAAGGAGATTTAGGGGATGTCTGAACAATTCTTATGAGGGAATAAACCAGCACATCCCATTTCAAAATGGCAAACACTGTTAAGTGTTCTGCATGCCAAAGAGCACAGCAGCAGGAAGGAAGGAAGGAAGGAAGGAAGGAAGGAAACTACTGGAGGATGCTTCAGGAGAAAGAGAAGTAATTTGGATGTATCAATTACGGGGGGGGGGGGGGGGGGGGGGGGGGGGATGCAAGGTCAGCAAACGCCTCAATGAATGAAAGTTCCAGTGTCAGGAAGAGGCGGAATCTGGGCAGAAGGATGAGAGGTAATGAAAGGCGCAGGAATGGCTTGATCCTGGGGCAAAGGACAATGGGGCATCAAGGGAAAACAGCAAGGCGCTAAGATGTCAAAGAAAGGTGTCTGTCACATGAGATAATGGCCTGAAAGAAATCAAATTGACATGATGACGAATTGTCAAATAAAAAGAAGGTGTGTGTGGGAGGGGGATATTTGCCCTGTTTTCTAGAAAGCACTGGGGAGTTCCAGAAGGGCAAAGAGAGACTGCCAAGGGGTTGGTTCCTCCTGATGGGAAAGGGGCACTGCTGCTGGGGCGAAAGGCGCAACATTAACGCAAGAAGGTGGCTCAGGTTTGGAGCTGCAATGACCCCCCCCCCCGAGAAGATGGGGTGGGGGCACTGGAGACCCACTCTTTCTCCAGCCTTGTGGGTGGAGGGAGATCCTGCATGCCTGCCTCCCCGCAGCTTCCCATTCCCTAAGGTCGCTGGCCCCCTGCCTCTCCTCCCAATAGGCCTGTGTGGCTTAGAGGAGGAGAGGGAGGAACGGGGCAACGAGTGCCATGCCCCACAGAGGGGTCTCCATCCCATCGATGACGAGAAGGGGGCTGCCTGCCTTGCAAGGGGGCAGAAGAGGAGGAGGAGGAGGAGGAGGAGGAGAAGCGCCCTTTCCCAGCCAGCCAGCCAGCCCCCCCGCGAGGGATGTTCTTGGCAAGCAAGGCGGGGCAGGCCCAGGCCCTGGCCAGGTCCCTACCTTCTTATAGTTCTTGCCCAGCCAGACCCGGGCGCTGTCGAACTGGCTGACGGTGTCCGAGGCCTCGTAGTACTTGACGTTGGGGCCCCCGTCCTTCTTCCGCACCGCCATTTTCACAGCGCCGCCGCCGCCGCCGCCGCCTCCCGCTCGCTCCTTGTGCAGCAGCAGCAGCAGCAGCAAAGGCCGAAGCAGTGGCACCGCAGCGCCCTCTGCCGGCGCCTATTGCTCCGCTCAGCGCCACGACGCCCGAGAGTCCCCTCGCGCTCCGCCGCCTAGGCAGACTGTGCGTCAGGTCCAGCGACCCCTGCTGGGGGGAAAGGGGGGCTGCCTACGCGGCTATCCTCGGTGTACACGCCCCCTACCGTTTACAAGCTGTCATTACCAAGGGCCCGAGAGAGGTACAAGCTGAGCCTCCCTTATCTGAAATGTTTGGGGCCAAAAGTGTTTGGGATTTCAGATTTTTTTTTCCGGATTTTGGAGTACAGTCAGCCCTCCCTGTCCACGGATTCAAGCATCCACGGCTTGAAAATAGTTTAAACATATACAAATTCCCATAGGGAAACCTTGATTTGCCCTTTTACGTAAGAGTTGTCATTTTACTATGCCATTATATTTAATGGGACTTGAGCACCCACTGACTTTGGTATGTTTCCTGGAACCAAACCCCAGCAGATACCAAGGGCCCACTGTATTTGCATATAGGTACATAATGATCCCATACCTTGGATCAAACATTGGTCAGAATGCAGTCAGCAGTCAAGAAATTAGAAATAGACTAGGAATGGAGAGGGCAGCCATGAAAGAAAGATGCTTTGAATGGTATCCTTGATGTTTGCCATTAAGCAGAGCAGGTTATTTCTAAAAGGTCATCATGAAGAGGTGGCAACTGGGCCATGACATTTTAATTCGCCATGGTTGACTTTAAAGAAGTCCCCTCAGTATTTATGAGTGGGAGAAAGAACTCTGCACATGTTCAAGAGCCCTCTTTCTTAGCATCCTCTCCACTCCCATAACTAACTAAACCCCCTTGAAGGAGAGAAATTCAGAAGGATATTATTATTATTATTAAATACCAGCGTCGTCGTTGTAGTGCTTTGGATTACGACTTCCCCGCTCAGGCATAAACACCCACTGGCTGACCTTGGGCAAGTCACACCCTCTCAACCTAAAAGTATGGCAATAGCAACCCCCTCGCTGAAGAAACTTGTCAAGAAAACCCTGGTTCGCATTAGGGTTGCCATAAGTCCAAATGATTATTATTATGTATTTATTGTTGTTGTTATAGCCCGCCTTTCTCCCGATAAAGGGACTCAAGGCGGCTGGGTGAGAAAGAAGAAGGCGAATGATGAGGGGAGAAGATGTAAGAAAATGGAGGGCGTGTTATTGTTGTCGTTGTCCCTCAGAAAAGAGGGAGAGAGAGAGACAATAATGGAGGGCAGGGCGTGAAAAGGGCCGCCGCCGCCGCCGCCGCCGCTTTCTCTTGGGCTGCGTGAGGAGGACATTATTTCTCCTCAGGAGAATGGAAGCGAGTCTGAGTGAGGCGACGGTTTTTCCTCTCTCCTCTCCTCCTTCTCCTCCCCCTCTACAAACAAGGGCTGGTCCAACCGCTAGGCGGGTCTCTCTAGCTGAAGCTCGGCGGAGGCTTGGCCCGAGAGTCACGGTGGCCGAGTGGTTAAGGCGTTGGACTCGAAATCCAATGGGGTTTCCCCGCACAGGTTCGAATCCTGTTCGTGACGGCGGTCTCGTTTTTGTGGAGAAAAGGGCCGCCTCCTTTTAAACGGCCCCACTTTAAACGCCGGCCGCGGGGAAAGCCGTTAAAAAGCACGGCGGGGCGCGCGAGGGAGAGGAAGAGGAAGAGGGTGTGAAATAAATGAAGGAGAACGAAAGGCCTCGCCCAACCCTCAACTCTGCCACTGTTCAAACACCACAGGGATGGTTCCTCCCACGAAGGAGGAGTTTGCGGCGATGGAGTAGGCCGCGTCCACTCTTCAGGAATAATCCGGTTTGATACCGCTTTTGGGGACTGTAGTTTGTTGTGGCATCACTCTGGTGCTGTGGAATCCCCAGAATTCCATAGCATTGAGCCCCGGCAGTTAAAACGGTATCAAACCGGATTATTCCTGAAGTGTGGATGCAGCTAAATGGGGAACCACGAAATTCACAAACTAAAAAAATGCTCCTCGCCCAAATTGATTCTGGATTGAGGACACACCCTCATGAGGGGGTAGAAATAATGCAGTTTGACTCCGCTTTAAGGGTCGCCGGTCCATCCTATGGGATGCTGGGATTTGCAGTTTAACGAGGTCTTCTGCCTTCTCTGCCAAAGAGTAATGGTGCTTCGCAAAACTACAAATCCCAGCATCCCTTAGGAGTGATGTCAAACTGTGTTATTTTAATTTAATAGCGCTGTAGATGCAGCTTCATCAGAGGGAGGCAAAGGCAATCTGAATGAATCTTGCCAAAAAAAAGCCCACAATTGGGGCCACCATCAGTTGGAAATGACTGGAAGGCACATACAGTATTGTGTGGAGACAGACAAACATGGAGTCAGTCACCTTGTTGATGGTTTCCTGAGTGATCAAACATCTCAGAATAGATAACACTTTCTTTTTCCTTTCTTTTTTGGCCTGGGGAAGCACTCCCAAATTAAGATGGCGGTATAGCTGTCTTTTTTTGTTAATTGTCTCCAAATGAAAATAATTAAAAGGGAGAAGAAAAATATAAATAAATCATTGTTTCCTTTTAATAAATGTGTAACATGTAAAGAGTAACTCCGTTTTCTAAATAAAGGGAACCATCCAATTAGACTGTACTGTATAACACTGGGCCAAAACACACTGCAAAAATAATCCAGTTTGAGACTGCTTTAACTGCCCTGGCTCAAGGCTAGGGAATTCTGGGAAGTGTAGTTTTGTGAGACATTGAGACTTCTCTGTTAGAGAGCTCCAATGCCACAACAAACTACAATTCCCAGGATTCCCTAGCACTCAGCCTGGCCAATTAAAGTGGAGACTGGATTATTTCTGCAGTGTGTTTTGGACAACAAAGTTTGAGGATGGGGCTGACAACGTTTGAGTTTTGACTGAAAGCGAAGGCAGCATGGCGTAGTGGTCTGAGTGTTGGGCTATGACTCTGGAGACCTGGGTTCCATTCCCCACTCAGCCATGAAGCCCACTAGGAGACCTTGGGCAAGTCACACTCTCTCAGCCTTTGGGGAAGGCAATGGGAAACCTCCTGTGAGCAAATCTTGCCAATAAAACCCCGTTAGAGAGTTGCCTTAGGGTCACCATATTCGGAAATGACTTGACAGAACACAAAACAACAACAAATAGACTCGGACATCCTCAAGGAAACAGCAGCATCCTCAAGAAAAATCTCTGTTAAGTGACCCATCCCTAAAGACTGCTATTGAGAGTAGGGCAGCAGTGAATTGAGCAGGACTATCTCCCACATACTTGTCACCTGTGACTTGGAAATACATTTAATTTATTTGTTTTAGTGGTGGTGGCAGGCATGGGACCTGTGACCCTCCAGGTATTGTTGGACTCTGACTCCCATCACCCCAGCCAGTATGACCAACCATTAGGAATTATGGGAGTTACAGTCCGACAATAGTTGGAGATGTACAGGTCCTCTGTCCCTGGATTATTTTAACAGATAAACCCTATTCAGGTTTTATGGAATACTTGTGTGAAGAGAGGGAGCGTGCTGGCCCCATCGTTCCCTTATTGTGCTTCCCTTATTCTCCTCTGAAGAACACTTTTCTAGAGGTGAGCGCTTCATCTGCATGGAAGTTACATATAATATGCTCTTAACATCTTATCAGACTTTACAGAAATTACTTTTTTGGAATACAGTTTTCAGAATTCAATGAACTGAAGTAGGAAAAAAGTAATGTTTCTAAGGTTTTCCCAACCTAGAACACAGGGGAGAAAGTATCTCTCTCCAAAATGATGGACCTGAGCAAACCCTAATAGTCCCAGCAGATACAGCAACACGGACAGTGTCATCAGCCATGCACCAGCATGATGTAGTGGTTTGAACATTGGGCTATGACTCTGGAGACCAGGTTTCAAACCACCACCACCCAGCCATGGATGATGTTGGACATGTCACACTCTCTCAGCCTCAGAGAATGGCAATGGCAAACCCTCTCTGAACAAATCTTGCCAGGAAAACCCCATGATAGAGTAGCCATACGTCAGAAACTACTTTAAGTCACACAACAACAAAAATATAGTTGTTAATTGGATAGTTCCCTGTCCTCAGGCTTACATTTAAAAAGACAACAGGCCCCACAAGGAAAAGGGGGTGGCAGTAGGAGAAGAGATCAGACTGCCAGAAATAGTGCAAACTGAGTGCACTTTTAGGGTTAGGGTTAGTGCTAGGGAGTCATGGGAATTGTTGTTTTGTTTTTTTTCCTGAGACATTGAGTCTTTTCTGTCAGAGAGCTCTGGTTCCACAATAAAACACAGTTCCCATGATTCTATAACCCTAACCCTAACCCTAAAAGTGGACTCAATTTGCACTATTTCTGGCAGTCTGCAAAGGCCCTAAGTCCGACAGATTCCAGCTGTTCTTCTTTCCTTCCAAGTGGCAGCTGAGATGGAGGGAGGGCCTTTCTCTCCGTTGCTGTGCCTAGGCATAAATTAAAGAGCTCTTGTTGTGTGTCTTCAAGTCATTTTGGATTTATGGAGACCCTAAGACAAACCTATCACAGGGTTTTCTGGGCTGAGAGTGTGTGACTTGCCTAAGGTCACCTAGTGGATGTCCATGGCCAAGTGGGGAATCGAATCCTGGTCGCCAGGATCCCCTAGTTCAATGCTCAAAACACTATACCACACTGACCACATTACCGCATTACACTCTTAAAGTGTAAATATTCCACTATTACTGCCCTGTCTGCCTCCTGTTGCATTCTGGGGTTTGTAGTACAGTGAGGCCTAAGAGCTCTCTGGCTAAGAATTCTAAATGCCTTTTCCCTAAACTACAAACCCCAGAATGCAACAGGAGGCAGCCAGAGCAGTTCAAGTGGAATAGTAGCGCTATAAGATTGTAGTGTGGTAATCTAATACCTCTCACTGTCTTATTCTTCCACTTTAACCTCTCTGTTGATCCATCCTATGCAACCCCTAAACTCTGGAACGACCTGCCGGACGAGATCCGTCAGTTGACATCATTACACAGCTTTAAAAAAGCTGTCAAGACGGATCTTTTCCGGCAGGCCTTTCCAGACTAATCACCCCGGCCTTGGGTTCCTTGACTCCTGCGTTCCTCCCGTGGCCCCATCAGTTGTTGATGGATGAGGAACACAGTAGAGGTTGATGAGGACACTGTAATTTGTTTAAATGTTATATGTTTTTATTGTTATGTTTAATTTTATCTTATTGCTATTTTAACTACATATTATTTAATACTGTTTTAAGGGGGGGTTGGTTTTTCTTCTTTGAGATATGTTACACGGGTTTTATTGTAAGCCGCTTGGATTGACTGTCAATAAGCGGGATATAAATTATTATTGTTGTTATTATTATTATTATTATTATTATTATTATTATTATTATTATTATTATCCTGGAACTAGTCGTCTGGTGAAGCACTAGAGCTCTCTGGCTGGGATATACTAAACTGCAAATTCCAGGATTCCATAATAAGGAACTTCAGCAAGTAAAGTGGAATCATAGGACTATAATTCTGTAGTGTGAATGGTTCCCAGTTAATAAAGGCAGTATGGAAATCTCCATCCAGGGTCAATATAATTGATAAGAAACACAATCAGGATACTGCAATGATGTGAGTAAAACAATATTTATTACATTTATTAAACGCTGTAAGGTGGTTTTAAAAAATCAGTGTTGTGATCTCTTTTCTTTATCTATTTATTTATCTGGTTTTCCTTCTACTTTTTTTAAATGGTGTACCACAGCTAAAAAATGCATGCAATCCTGCTGCGCTGGACAAGGACAGGGGAAAATCCAACACTCTGTTTCTCTCACCCCTGTGAAAAGAGGGGTGGCTACTGAAACCAGCAATAGTCCGCTTTCTTCATAATACTCCAAACTGTTTCTGTAAAGGCAGTCTCTACAAAACATGCCCAGGCTGCTGAACGGAGTCACAGGCAGCTACTGAAGATAATAAGGCTGTGGTGTAGTAAGTAATTAACATACATACTAAGGATTTAAGGTCTTTGAAGTCCTCTTGTGACTCTCCAGGTTGTCCCAACTAAAATGCTCTGCAGGCAACACATGCCGACTGGTGAAAAAGGTAACAGTAGTAGCTAGTAAAGTTAGATAGCACTGGTGTAGCCTGCGAGTATCATGCTAGGCTATTTATATACCTTATCTGGGCTGATTAACCTGCTGACCGAGATCAACAAGTTGCTGGTGAATACGTCAGTGATGTTTGTGAGTAGCACATCATCGCAGCAGCTACATTAGGGATACTTGCAAGTACAAGTTTATCCAAAATGCTTGGGACCAGAAGTGTTCGATATTTCGGATTTTGTTGGATTTTGGGATACCTTTTGGAATACCTTTATTTGCATATCCCCTGTAGTTTTTAAAAACAGATAAAATGCATTCAAGTGACACATATTATATAGATCAGAAGCAACTTTCCCAGGAAGTTGAATGCTTCTCTGTCACGAAGGAGGATGCCAAAGTGCTCTTCTCCACCATAAAACCCTGCTAGTCTATAGAGCAGAAGGAATAGCTGAGAAGACCAATGGCTTCATACGAAGAAAGGAAGGTCACATCCCATGGAGGTAGTGGGAGCACACAAACAGCTGGGGCAGAGCAGGGAAGGGCCAGTAGGCTGTGTTACCAGTACTACACATCTGCTGTACTAGGTTGTGCCTGGTGTGTTTGTGTGTGTGTGTGTTGGAATGACAAGAAAGTACCATGAGGTTAAAGATGAGTCGGAGTCCCTGGTAAGGGCATCTGCCTGAGGTTGGCAGAAAGGATCTGTATGTGCTCTCCAACATTTCACAGGTCAAAATGGTATTGTGGACAAACATCAGTGTGGTCATGATCACAAAAGAACAAACTGTGTGAGTCTGCAACAGTTTGCTCTTGCCTAAGGCTACTGGGAAGGGTAAGATTCTGCCTCTCCTCTCCTCCCTGCCAAGTTAACTGTGTACGAGCTACTTTAGCACTTTGAATACAGTTTGCAGCCACTGAAATACACTGAGGACAAAGAGAGGGGAATGGGAGGAGAGAGTTGAAAAAATGGAACTAAGGGGGATTGCATTGTTTATCTTGTGATAAGTTGCAGAATTCCTTGGACTGATTAGAGCTTTGCAAGTTGAAAACTTTTATCAGCAGTGTCCCAGGAGAGTTATTTATTGCAAAAGAAAGGAATTGCCAGGTCTTACAGGACAGCATAGAGACAGCAAATGACCAATGGGCATGAAAGCAGTCAATCAAAGGAGTAGGAAACAGACCTACAGTGAATGTGATCAGCATATATTAGTATATATTTCAGTGGAGCATCTGGTAATAAATATTCTGAGGTGGGGGAATAGAGATTCCAATTTTAACATCAGTAGGTCCTTAATCTGCATCTCTCTCCTTCGCTGTCCTGCATCTATCTCAATGATAATGATACTGTCCTTACTATCACTGACCTCTCCTAGAGGGCCCTGGGGATCAGATGGCCTTCTTAGGAAGCAGTGTGGGCTTCTCCTCACTTTCACTCCTTAGATTTTGATTGGTATGTGACATGATTTTTTCTTGGCCAGATTTAAGAGAGGATTGAAGTTCAGCTTCCGCATTTTCAGCACCAGTTTGTTTGTGTCTTGATTATAAGAGCTGTTATCAGCAACCAACTGATATTTAGTTGTGAGATATTCTTGATATGGAAAGCAAATACCAAGCCTATATCTTTACATCCCCATACACCAGATGAAAATGGCAGATAGTTTTAAAAGAATATATCTTGGAATGCTGTTTGTTGTTGTTGTTGTTAACTGCCCTTGAATTAATTCTGACTCATGGTGACCCCATGGATGAGACATCTCCAAGACTCCCTATTTTCCACTCCTCTGCCTAGGTAAATTTATACCCGTGACCTCCTTAATAGAGTCCATACATCTAGCATGCAATCTTCCTCTCTTTCTACATCCCTCCAGCTTTCCTAGCATTATTGTCTTTTCCAATAAGTAATTC